GAAGGCATTCTGACCCTCATCTAATTACCTTCCTTAGTCCTAATGAGTGTCAGGGACATACCCCAGCATGGGGTAGGTTCCTGAGGAAGCTACTTGGACGAGTGGCCAAAACGTCTTCAACGTTACAGAACAAGTCCAGTCCAAAGAACCACCGCTAGCTATGGGCAGCGATTGTGATCCCACAAAAACAGCTGGAAGCCCCATCAGATTAGCAGAACTCTTTAGAAAACATACAGTGCTGCAGCTTCCTAGTGCTGACAGTGTGCATCTCTCCCATGCAAGCTCACGATCGAAACAGCAGCAGCAGCAGCCAAGGAAGAGGTGGGGAACTGGGGGGGTTACGGGGACGACATAGAAATAAGGCTTATAAGACTGTGATCACCTCGCCGTGGTCGCTATTCCTACCCAGGGGAGTATCTTCTGGAAGGAAATAAAGTTTGGAGCTGGATAAAAGTTGCCGGCTTATCCTCTCTTCCCACAGCAGCTGGAGTTCGGCTATGCAAATCGGCTCCTCTGGCTTGCATCGGACCAGGAAAAAGTCGCCAAGGGAGAGGATTCTCGGTTTGTCTTCAAGGTGGAACTGAAAAGCCTTGTAGAAGATATAAGGTCCATGGAGACCACAGGGTGAGCCGACCCACTGCAGGAGAAAAACAGGGGAAAAAAATAAAAAAAAAGAGAAAAAAAATAAAAAAAATTACTGTAAATACATGAGAAGCACAGAAAAGGAAGAACAATAAAACAAATGCCATTATTATTTTCCAGTCCACAGGGTAAAAGTTTGCCTGGAAGTTGGCAGCTGTGTCAGGGTGAGGGGGTGCCAGGCTGCCCCCCTCTGTGAGGAGCAGGAGAAGCCAGTGATACAGGAGCAGATAATAATACCTTGAGTGAGTTGGGCTCCATCTCGACGTTCTGAATTGATTGAACTCAACATTCTCTCCAAACTTGTTGGCTTCAATGGATTGCATCAGGTCCTGGCAGGGCCAAGCCGCGGCGACGCGTCCTCTCAATATAAAACAGCCAGCCCGCCGAATCCGGGCCCCCAAAATAACAACCGAGGGCCCCTAATATTTCTTCGCATCCCCAATTTCACCGCCCGGGCCGAATCGCCCCTCCTCTGGCACCGGGGGCTTCGCGGAAAAAAGAAGAACGCCGCGCTCGACGGCGGAGAGAAGGAAGCGAGTGGGCAGCTTCCTTTTAAAATCGATTTAAAAATATAAAAGGGGCTTCTGGGTGATGGCAGGTGGGGCAGAGTGTGAGAAGTGCCGCTGGCGGCGAGAAAAAGCGGGTGCGTGATTTTTAATAGCCCGATAAGCGCCTCTTGTGTTGTAGCGCTCAGCCAGGACCTGCGTGTATATGTATAATATAAAGAACATTTCCTGCAGAGATTCAGGGGCGCTCTTCGTTCTAATGCTCTTTAGCAGATCGCTTTTATTAGACATGCAGATTCGTTTGGTCGTTAAATTACACTCCTTCACTGCCATATTCTGCTTATTTCCCCCTTTTATTTTTGCATTCTTTCGCCTTCCAATCTAATAAATTAATGATCGCCGCTTGTGTACACAGGAGAGGAGGAGGAGAGGAGGGAGGTGTGTTTTATTATATAAACATATAAATATTAATGCATTTGTGTGCTTTGAGGGCAGGAGGGGGGAAAAAGATATGATCATTACAAAAAATCAAAGATCACGCGATCTGCAGACAGTATTCATCGGGCATCGCTTGGATTTTTAAAGGGACGAGGATAACGAACACACCGCGAGTAATCGATACGTGGAGTGAAGAAGAAAAAAAACACGGGACAGCCAGAGGACTGGATCTACTGTTATATGAAACCATATGTTCAGCCATTAGCCGGGGGGAGAGCACAGCATTGTTCTATTAAAAGTTATTTACAAAGGAATGCTATCTGTCTGTACACTGGATGGGGAGGGGATGCCATATTATTATTATTATCATTATTATTATTAATATTATTATTATATTATTTCTACAGACACGTGACCCTAGAAGAGTATACACATGAATATCACACATAAACAACTGGGGGCGTGACAAATCTGCCCCAATAGAGCTCATAAAAAAGAAACACTTGTGTCTATGTATATACAGACATGTACAGTACTTGTAAGTTCTATCTAGTCTGAGACTGGGAGACACAAACATACACAGCACTTTATAAGTGATATATACAGTGTTATATTATATTACATACAGAGAGGCACACCTATACCATACTTATGACTAATATATACCGTGTTATATAGGAACACACATATAGAGAGACACAGCTATACAGTACTTATGACATATACAGTGTTATATAGGAACACACATATAAAGAGACACACCTATACAGTACTTATGACTTATATACAGTTTTATATAGAGACACACATATAGAGAGACACACCTATACAGTACTTATGACATATATACAGTGTTTTATAGGAACACACATATAGAGAGGCACACCTATACAGTAGTTATGACACATATACAGTGTTATATAGGAACACACATATAGAAAAACACACCTATACAGTACTTATGACTTATATATACAGTGTTATATAGGAACACACACCTATACAGTACTTATGACTTATACATACAGTGTTATATAAGGACACACATACAGAGAGGCACACCTATACAGTACTTATGACTTATGTACAACGTTTTATAGGAACACACATATAGAGAGGCACACCTATACAGTAGTTATGACACATATACAGTGTTATATAGGAACACACATATAGAAAAACACACCTATACAGTACTTATGACTTATATATACAGTGTTATATAAGAACACACACCTATACAGTACGTATGACTTATATAAAGTGTTATATAGGAACACACATATAGAGAGGCACACCTATACAGTACTTATGACTTGTATATACAGTGTTATATAGGAACGCACATATAGAGAGACACCTATACAGTACTTATGACTTATATATACAGTGTTATATAAGAACACACACCTATACAGTACTTATGACTTATATATACAGTGTTATATAAGAACACACACCTATACAGTACGTATGACTTATATAAAGTGTTATATAGGGACACACATATAGAGAGGCACACCTATACAGTACTTATGACTTGTATATACAGTGTTATATAGGAACACACATATAGAGAGACACCTATACAGTACTTATGACATATATATATATAACGTGTTATAGGTAAATAAGTGTTATTGGTGAACACACATATAGAGATGCACTTCTATAGTGATTATACATGAAATATACAGTGTGATATAGAAACACACATTGAGACAGACACCTATGCAGTACTTTTGAGTTATATATACAATGGGGGGAATTTATGAAAATTGGAGCAGTCAGAACATGGAGCTGTTGCTCATGGCAACCAATCAGCTTCTCTCTCCAGTTTGCTAAGGTAAGATGTGAAAATGAGACAGAGAAGCTGATTGGTTGCAGTGCAAAATCTGCTCCAGATTTTGTCTGCTCCAGTTTTGATAAATTCCCCTCAGTCTTATTTGTAAAAACATAGACAGACACAAACATTCACAAGTACTTGTGATATATACAGTGTTGGATAGAAACACACAAAACACATTTACATAAGTTAAATAATAGGGGGGGGGGGGATATCAAAACGGAGCAGTTGCCCATAGTAACCAATCAGCTTCTCTCTTCAGTTTGTTCAGTTAAGGCTTGAAAATTAAATGTGGATGCTGATCTATTGCCATGGGCAACTGCTCCAGTTTTGATAAATTCCTTTCATTGTGTTATATGTAAACACACATACATATACAGTACCTATAAGTTATATACACAGGGGGGAATTATCAATACTGGATCAGACAGATCTGGAACTGTTGCCCATAGCAACCAATCAGCTTCTCTCTTCACTTTCTTCAGTTAAAATTTGAAAATGAAAGAGAGAAGTACTTTATATATGTCTCTCTCTCTCTATGTGTGTTTAAATGACACTGTGTACATAACGTAAAGAACTGTGTATGTCTGTATCTGTATTTACATATAACACTGCGTATATTATAAATGCACACTACGTGCATCTCTCTATATGTGTGTTTCCCTATAACACTCTGAGGGGAATTTATCAAACCTGGAGCAGACAAAATCTAGAGCAGTTGCCCAGGGCAACCAATCAGCTTATCTGTTCAATTTGTTCGGTGGGGATTTGAAAATTAAAGAGAGAAGCTGATTGGTTGCCGTGCACAGATGCTCTAGGTTTTGTCTGCTCCAGTTTTGATAAAACCTCCCTCACAGTGTTAGACCCCGTTCACATTGAGCGATTTATCGCGCGGTAATTCCCGCGATATCGCGGCAAATTACCGCGCGATATCGCGCTCCAATGCAATCCAATGGGGCAAAGGGTCCTGCTGTCGCGGGTCGTGTGTCGCTACAGCAGGACCCTTTTTGGAGCGGATTTAGCCGCGATTCAAGCTTGCTCAATGCAAGCTTGAACGCGACATCGCGCGGCAAATCTCGCGATGTCGCACAATATGCAAATCGCGCGACAAACGCGTGATTTGCATATCGCGCAGTGGGAACGGGGCCTTATATGCAAAAACACATATAAGGGGGGAATTTAGAAAAACTGGAACAGACAAAAACTGGACTTAAAAAGACTTAACTGAACAAATTGAAGAGAGAAGCTGATTGGTTGTCATTCACAGCTGCTCCAGTTTTGATAAATTCCCCCCATAGAAAGATACATGTATACAGTACATATAAGTTATATACACAGAGGGGAACTTATCAAAACTGGAGCAGACAAAATCTGGAGCAGCTGTGCACCGCAACCAATCAGCTTTCTCTTTCATTTTCAAATCTCTGCTGAAAAAACTGAAGAGAGAAGCTGATTAGTTGCCCTGGGCAACTGTTCTAGATGTTGCTCTAGTTATGATAAATTCCCCTCACAGTGTTATAGGTAAACACACATATAGAGTGATGCATATATTCAGCATTTATAATATATACACCGGGAGGGGGGGGATTTATCAAAACTGGATCAGACAGATCTGGAGCAGTTGCCCATGGCAACCAATCAGCATCTCACTTCCGTTTGCTCAGGTAAGATTTGAAAATGAGACAAAGAAGCTGATGGGTTGCAGTGCAAATCTGCTCCAGATTTTTTCTGCTCCAGTTTTGATAAATTCCCCACACAGTGTTATATGTAAATACAGATACAGACATACACAGTTCTTTTACGTTATATATACAGTGTTATTTAAACACACACATAGAGTGTGTGCCATAGAGAGCCATATATACAATACTTGTAAGTATCTTATACAATATTTGTTTATGACAATAAATCATAACAATAGCCATACATATGGAGAAGGATACGTGTACAGTACTTACTAGTTATATATACAGTGGTACATAAAAGCTATATGTACACTGGTATGTGTAAACAAACACACATATATAAATATCCATCTATATAAAATTATATATATATATATATATACACACATACACACACACTAGGTGCCAGATGGTGTCTAGTAAGGAAACTGCAGACAGTCGGTAGGCGTGTTCAGCTCTGTGCTGACAACACCTGAAGGCAGTTATCAGTATAACTAATATTATAATGCAATAGTAACCACCATCAACTGAAACACGTCTTCATTGTAAACTGATCTCTCATTAGCATGTAATGTGGACTCTGGCCATTTCTTGCCACTTTGTTATTGCTGTGACTGCGTGAAACATTCTCTTTAAATGTAATACCATATTGTTTATTATATGAGTAATTCATTAATAATATAGCCAGGCTAGATAAGCCGTACAAAAGGCATTTTTTTGAATAGTTAAGGGAGTGGGTGGCTTCAAAGATAATTTTTATACATTGCTGTTATTGTACTACTTTCAGTGCGAATCAGTCTCAACTTTTACTTTCATTCTAGTTGTCCAGATGTGTTTAAGATAAAATATTTGAGAACAATGTATTCAATCATTAAAAAAATCTTTAAAAAGAAAACAAAAACAAAACTGTACACACAATAAAGCTTCTTTTTTTTGTTAATGCAACACGTGCTTTAGAAT